TCGGGTTGAATGCACTCACCTGCTATCTGTATATAATCTGGTTAGTTTTATATCATCTCTCACTCGGCCCGCCGCGTGCACGGGTATATTTTTACACTCGTCTCCGCCGGCCAGCTCGCGATTCATTATGCTGATCATAATGAAAGTCCCTTGCATGGAAAGAATGTAATGAGATGGGTTTCGCAACATTCGCAAGAATAAGTTTTCAGAGCACACTAAACGTTTAAACATCTGGTGTTTTGAAATAATATTCATCACAGAATAATCAACAAAAAATATAATAGGGTCCTAAAAGAGGAAACATTTTGATGGCTCTTTGTGTTACGATGACTGAAAGGAACTGATGACAGAGTTTAACATCGAAAAAAATTATTTAAATTTTATTAAAATTCATTTTTATAATAAAAATTTAAATTCCTGCAATTGTTACAACAGTTTGGAATTAATTAATATCTAGTGGCTGACAAGAATCTCAGTTTTCCAGAGCCAAGGCCGAAATTAATTAATCAAGAGTCGAGTAGCAGCCGAGTTGTGAATGGCCGCGCAAGATGAAAGGTCGGGGGCTGACGTCAGGAAAGGGCTACTGTTTGCCCGCTCCGTTGATTGCTTTTACGGTTTCGACGTCTCTCTGCTTTTTATTTGGTGCACACCGCGCGCGCGACTCTCTCTATGCTCAACTTATATTCTCGACTCGCTGCTGCATGGTGTGCTACCCAGCAATTATTCGGAGATTATTATTATTTGGTACCGCCTTCTAATTGCAGGTTAGCTCTCGCCAGGCCGCTTTGTGGTCAGGGAGCTGTTCTTCCTGTGTCATGTAATTGGCTGAAATTTCGCCCGAGATGCGCTCGCCGCGATACGGATGCACACACCGTGTTATGGGACTCTCCATTTGTGCGCGCCAGACCCCCTCTTTACTCCTCGCGATATGCGCTCCCACATTGCCTCTGTGTATAAAATAGTGTGAGATTTTTTACTGTATCATTATAGCATCGCTCGTTTGCCATTTCGGTGCTCAATGTAATTGTTGAGGAATTAGAACATTGGAAAATATGGCAATAGTTTGATGAATTATTAAATAATTAGTTTTAAAAACCACTTTTTTATTTTTTTTATCTTTGAGCTACTTATTTAAATATTATTTACTTTTATTTCTATTTAAACTAGGAATAATATTATTTTGTGTCAAATTAGAATTTATATTAAGATTCATACAGAGTCTGCAAAGTCATTGTGAAGTTAATATATCAATAGTCAGATTATACATTCATAGTGACAAATAATTTTTGCCATAATAAATTTGAAGAAAAAAACTTATTATAATATCAAAGTCTAATGAAAAATGCAGTTGCCTCATCTGTTGACACCTGTTGCAAAGACGGTAAATTTCAAATGGCTGTAGCTAGACAAATATAATTATATTTTTTTTTATTAAGTTTGTCTAATTCAATTTTTAGTAAAATATTTCTTACAATAATTTTCTGAACTAACTCAGTTATTGCTAAGATTTTTCATCCTTTTGTTAATGACTGATGCCATTACAAACACCTCTCTTCAAAACAGAAAAGCGTGCGCTCTTCACAGATTGACACGCGATTGCGAGTCATAAAAAGTTCCAATGATAAGTGGGTATGCCGCTGCTGGGCGCATCGATTATCACCTAATGTCATTTTTAAAAACGCAATCGGCACGCGATCCTCTCGCATTTTTTTCCTCCACACGCCGCCTGCCAATTTGAAAGCTCTCATTACTGCTTATTGCACCTCCCAGGCACTAACGTGTCATTTGAGTAATTTATTGTCTTTGCAGAGGGGAAATTATTATTTTTTTTTTTTCAAAAATTTTCACTATTGTCAGAGTGGCTTGTCCAGCAGTTAAATCTGGTCATTGCTCTGTGGTGATGAGTGCTCGACCTCCGTCGCTCATTTGCTCTTTTTATATATTTCTGCAGAGCTCTCTTTTTCCAGCGAAAAAAGCGCGCGGCGTGTGAATTGAAAAGCCGCTTTTGCCAGAATGCAACGTCCTGTCTCTCTTCTTTTTCGTGTTGTCGGTTAGAGACTTGAATGCATGCAAGGAGCACTTTGTACATAAAGAACGAGACACAAGTGCGCGCGCTGAACGTGCAGGAAAATCGCCGCCGCCTCTGCTGTGTGACCCTTTCGCGAATATAAGAAGCGCGCTCGTTTTTATTTACAAGAGAGAAAGAGACACGGTGCATAGTTGACCATGCATGAAGCTCTCTTGATTAATTGCACAAAGCGTCTCAGACAATTGTCTGGCAAGAAGAGGCTAAATTGAGGAAACCTTTGTTTAAATTTACAGGGAAAATCTAAAAAAAAGTAGCGCGGGTTGCAGGTAAAATCACGAGAGACTGGGAAAAAAAGTGTCAATCAAAAAATTTGCGGAAATTATGAAATTTTTGGTGCTTTTCTTGCGAAAGCCCGCATTTTGTGTTGAAAATAATGGCAAAAACTCTTGACATTCAAATATAAAATATCACGGCGCGTTAAGATACAAACGCAGCAGTGCGCGGGCCAGCGAGGCGGGACGTAAAAAAATTAGATTACGAAGCTGGATAGGAAAAAATTGGCGAGCTATAACCAATTTTCGTCCGCTCTCCACGGAGAGCCAGAGGTATGATGCGATAACGGGGCGTGCTTTTTATATAATAATATCGGGTAATAAAACTCGGTCTCTTCTCGTCTCTCATTTTTTTCCTCCTCTCTGAGCGCGAATACATATGCGATCTATATAATATTTTACACTCTCATTGTATACCAATGCATGTGTTGCTCCTTTTTTCTCAAGCGCGAAGCATATATTGTGGCAATTTTCAATTCATTTTCTGTTATGCCTATCCATCAAAAGCTGCGGAGCAGGGCACCTTCTCTTTTCTGCGCTCTTATGAGGACAAATCATTATTATTCTGCCGGATTTATTGGTGCGTGAATCTAATTTAATTTGGAAATCGAGTTTCCTGCTCGCAGCGTGCTGCGCTTTTGTCCCAGGTGCTCTACCACTTTTCCCTTTTGTCCTTGGCAGACGTATTATTTGCATTCGAACCGATCACAGTCGCGACTAACAAGAGGAAAAGGAGATCAAACCAAAGTAAATTGCAAATAATGCCTTGGATCACCTGGTGCGATTTTGTAAGTAAAAATTTTGCTGTGACATTCTAATTTTGTTAAGATCTAATCTATCAAAAAAATTTTACTGATAGTTTCATTTGATTTGGTTTTATGAAAGTTCATTTAGTGTGAAATCTATATTAATAATATAAATTTTATGTAAAAATTTCAAATAACATTAATTAAGATGACGAAGGAGACATAAACTATCTTCTTTTTTTTTAATTATTATAGCAAGATAGATTAAAAAACTTTTCATAATTCAATTAGATGCAACGATCTGCGCTCAGAATAAATAAATTACCAAATTAGTTGATAATTGCCTATTGAGACAAAAATGTCTTATCATCGATATCGATCTTTTGAAACACGGTTGTCAGTGTATTGTAAGCGAAGTGGCCGCCGAGCACAAGGGAGAAATTCAATAATTCGAATTTATCTTGATAGGCGCGCAGGCAACAATTGCGGCGACCGCGCGCTTCGGTGGTAACCAATAAGCAAAAGAGTGTTGATTGAAATGTTCCCATTGAGAGGTGGAGATACGAGAGAGAAAAGGGTTTCGGCGGCGGCCGGATAGATTTCATAGGTGAGGCCATCAAGTCTAATGAAGTGACCGAGTGCACCTTTTTATGGTGCCGCCGCCGCCACTTCGAGAGATGGTGTTGATGAGAAAAGGTGATAAATAAAACAGGAGAGCGGCAGAGTATACGCCGTGCGCTGCCAGACGATGGTTATTTCGAGGCCATATACCTTAGACCGGGATATTGATTCTCATCCAAGTTCCTTACTGGTTTCCAAAAAACTTTTTATTTTCTACTTGACTTGATCAATAAGGCAAGATTTTCTTTATTTACATTTGTGTATATTGAAATTTTACACTATATGGAAGAGATATAAATTTTTCAATGAAAAATGATGGTGTAAAATTGGTGAAATTAATTATTATGATGCCAACTTTGTTCTGCAGTTTGTTGCAGTTTTATGCTAAATTTATGAAATAAAATATTTTCTACATTAAAAGTCTTGTAAATTCCTAATTTAAAAAAATATAAATAATATTTTTTTCTTTTGATTGGCTAATTATAGGTTAATGGAGATTTACGGGCTCTTGTCCAGTTAATGAGCAGTTACGAATATGCTAATAAGACCATTAAACAAGCTTTTTAATGTGCTTGAAACGGGATTTAGTGATCAAAATGTTAACGACGAGATCAAGCCCAAAATCATTATTCTCACTGCAGAATTGTTGTTTAAAGTCTGATTTTTGATAATGCGATTTTAAGAGGATTTTTATAGAAAAATTCTTAGTTCTTTTGAGTGGATTTGAGTAACGAAAATTTTAGAAATTTGTTTATACACAAATCTTTCCTGAAAAAAAAAATATAAATAAATAAATAATGCTATGAGGCCAACGCAGATAATTTTTCAGTTTTGTTTGGGTCATTCTGCGTAATTAATTACTGGTAAAAAGAATTCAGAAAAATGTCCACTAAAACATAAATTTTAAACTTAGATTATTTGGTTATGTATAGGCATTGCAAAAGTCAGCTTCAGCAGGCAAATTGTTGCATGTCACTCTTTTTTCGACGCGCCCTTTTCGCTTAAAAATGGATTTGACTGCTTGTAAATTGAAAAACAACAAGGGCCTGGAATGACCATAAAAACTGTATAAATCTTATAATGAGAGGTTTAAAAAGAGGTGTTGATTTGCTTGTAAACATGCACGCGGTCTTGAGCGGCGGCGGCGGCGGCGGCGCGAGCACAGAAAGAGTCGCTTGGGTTTTATAGTGGCGCGCCGCTCGCCGGTTATTAACTCCTTAATGATTAAAAAATAAAATGGGAAGGAGGCTCTTTCGCTCCATCTCGTCTCACCTGCTACTGCAATTTACAGCATGGCCCAACAACCAACACACACACTCCGACGCGGCGCGCTCCTGTAACAAATGGCAAGCACGCTTAATTAGAAAAATAGGGCCAGATCACACACGCGCCAACTACAACACCTGAGAGCATGCTCATCAGCAACAGTAATTTACCGAACAGGTAGATATTGCCTAAGGTATATAATTCATTGAATTTTAGATAATTATAAGCATTTCTTTAATTATATAGTAAACAAAATTTATTTATTTTCTCTGTTAATAAATAATTTTGTATATTTTTAAATATGGATAATAGTTTGTTTTCAACTTTAAATTTTTAATATTAAAATTTTAGCTACTTTTTAACAATAATTTTGAAGTATTATGCATTTATGAAGGGGTTCTTAATTTTTCATGAATTATTTATTCAATGAAAGAAGTAATGTTTGCTGGATTTTTTTGAAGCCACAAAATTAAATATCATATGATTTGCTTTCACTGAAAGATAATTGCAAGCAATTGGGCGTGTATTTTTGATACCCTCCTTACCTTAATGGGAATCGAGGGCCAGAAATAAGTTAGAAATTGCTAAAGAAAATTAAGATTTATATTATATTAGATTCAAATTCATATTATGTGTTCATATGCAAGATTATTTCATTTACTCAATTTTTCTCTTTAAGAATTGAACTAAATAAATTATTTTATGCAATAAAAGCTGCGAATATTGTTTGGTTCAGGCAAAGATTATAATACATAAATTTTGCGACTGAGCAATGTGGCGGTGCTGGTATTAACATTATAATGACTCTCAAGCGAAAATTTTTCAGATCACGGCAAGTTTCGATTCACATAAATATCTTTCTTGAATTTTGTTTTACATATTGGCCTGTGAGACGTGCAAGAGAGCAGTGCGAGCACCGAGAGAATATTTGGAGGCTTTCAAAATATTAAAGGGGGGCCATCGAGCGACTCACTCTGCTTTATAGATTTATTGGCCCGCGCGCGTGTGACAGATTTATTGCCCTGTATGACGAACCTTAACATAATCATAATAATTATCTGTACATTATTTATACCAACGGCGCGGGGAAAACTCTGCTCTTGACGGACCATTCGCAGGACAGCTCCGCCGGCCAAGATTTTCTCTCTCTTTTTGATATTTTTGTTTTTTAACATAATAAAGATCGCATGGGGCCCTCGCGCGTTACCAAACATGCAAAAATTATACACTCGCCTTTGCTTAATGCTATAACTTTTCATTTACATTATCCGCCGCTTTATTATATTTATAATAGCACGGTTTTTTTGTCGGATTCTTCGGCTTGGTCACCACGAGACGCGTATTATTGCCTTTAATTATAGCTGCACACAACAATCATCGAGCGAGAGGAATTTCCTCTTTTAGTGCCGGTTCGGAATCAAGGCTTATGACGGATATTTGCAATATTTTATTATTCTTAAGCTTGAACTGACTTGCCTTATTTAGGAAAAAAATTAATTTAATTTAAATCCATTTAATTTTTTATCTTTTTAATTTTTTTTCTTTTGAACGATTTTATGACAGGAAAATATTTAATGTATTAAACATATCACTCGATTAAATTTTAATGTTTTTTTTATTGTGGATATAAAATAATGTAAGATTATAAATAATTCACTATCATACAAATCAGACAGACTTTGGTGTGATTTTTATTAATTCCTTTCATCTCACTTTTGGGTTATTAATAAGTTTTTTCAATTTTTAAAGGGCCTCTGAAGTCAAAATTTTTATGGTTTTAACGTACCTATTAATTTAAGTAATCCGAACATCACATTTTGCTGGGGGACTGAAAATTCCGCGCTTGTATCGGAAATTGAAAAAATCGACGTTGGACTTTCTCTACGCTTTCGCCATGTTGGCCCACTCAATATTGCACCAGAGGAACAAAGTCTCGGAAGCCTCAACAGGAAGACGCGCAAGAGGGGTAACATGTTACCTTGGGGCTGTGGCGATATTCCCTGGTCCGTTTAGGGTTATCGGTAGGTCGGCGAAGTCCTCCGTAGGCTCAAATTCGGCGAGGGCCGCCGAGGCACCGAGAGGTGACTTTTGTAATGCACAGCTCACGCCTCACAGCACACTGCATTCTCGCTCGATTATGCTGGTGGTGGCTGCTGCTGCTTGTGCCCGAAGCTCCAAGACCATAGCGAACAAGTCAGGACGTGAATGAGAGACGCAACGCGAGAGGCAGGCAGATAAATAAAAATGACATCGTGCCTAATCTAAAAATCATTTTTGGCGCTGAGTTTAAAGCATTGTGTGGACTTTTTTTCAAATAAATATTTCTTACACAAGGAACATTTAAAAAAAAAAAACAAAAAAATTCATAGCAAAATGTAGCCAATTAAATTATCTTTTCTTTTTGCTAAAGTAAATTTTCAGAATTTCAGAACATTGCGCCATTTCATCGCCCTTTATATGCTGCTAATATGAAGATTACTCTAAAATGTTTAGTGCAGAAAAATGTTGTCTAGTATGAATGTAAAATGGAAACATGATTGCGTGACTTGGTGCCTGCAACTTTGTATATTTTACTTGTGTTGCGTTGCTTCCTTTGCTGGTTTTGTATAAGGTCCAATTTTAAAACGATACCTTTTGCTACAAAGCTGAACGTATTTATAATTTTATTGCGGTCGCTGAATGGGACAAGAGGTTTTTAAATAATTCATTAGATCTCCAGAAATTCTGCGTGGAGAGAATCGAAGCGAGCGACATGCAAGCAAAAAATGCTTGGCAGCGATTTGCGGAAGAAAACCAACAGCTTTATATAAAAATTATAGCGTTTCCGTGTGATTATGGAATTAATGATCCCTGTGGTTTTATTGCTGAAGCACCATTCGGTATATTTTGGATCAGAATAGATCACAAATGATCCCCATTCTCAGAACATGATTGGATTTTTATGATGGCGTGTCAATAATTTTGCATATTTATGCTTTTACTGAGGTTTTGTGGCCACCGTTTCAAAATTACTAGAGCATTCCAAATTGTTTTTTTTTCAGTTGGCAATTTTTTTCCTTATTTTGAAATATAATAAAAATGATTCCATTTTAATTTCTTTTGTTTTTTGCGTTTTAACTCAAGACACTTGCTCACATTTAAAATTGAGGATATTTTTAAAGGGGAAAATAATTTTCCTCATTTATGTTTTTGATTAGCTACGTTTTTTTATAAAGATGGCTTGATATTTTGCTCGAGTTTATTTAAAGGGTAACAAAATGATTCATAAAAATGCAATTTTGTTTTGAAGAATCGAAACAGTTAAATTTGGCAACAAATTTATCACATAAAAATTTTTGTGCATGGCTTTTAGGTGATATTTATTCGATTTATTCCATGTTGAATGTTGCTGTCTCAAGTTATCAGAAGTCAAAGTTTATTTTGCAATGTACTTTGAACTCGTTTATATGTATCTTAAATTAAATTAATTTCATTAATTTGAATTACCTATTAAACGCCAAAAATGGAGACAATATTTAAAATTGTCAAGTTTAGCATTTTTATGAATGTGACCATCAAAGGAATTATATAACAATAAACAGGCTGGGCAGCCACGTCCGATTTTTCACTGCCCCTAATCGCCGATTAATCATGGAAGCACGGCATAAAAGCGGCATCTCTCACATAATCAGAAGCAGCGAAAGTGCAGGCCATAAAATTCATATGCAAGCTGCCATAATTTTATGCCTGTCTCGGGCATATTAAAAATCCTGTGTGCCTCTTAATCGCCGTGAGCCAATTTCTTTCTAAGCCACACGAGCGTAAGTTGCTTGTTTTTCCTGTAGAGCACAAACCAACACACAAAACACATCTCTCTGTTGCTGGTCGGAGAAAAATCTCCGCGGCTCGTATATTAAAAATATGTATTCCCTGGGCCGAAAAGAGTCGGTGTGTGTGTATGAAATATCAAGCTGGCATCTCTTCCAAAAAAGCCTTTTAAACGTCGCGTACGTATAAAAAAAATATGATTATATTCAAGAGCTCGCAGAGAAGCAGCCATAACAGCCGAGCTAGCTAGAAAGAGAGCCAGTGCGCGCGCGAGATGCTGCTTTGCTGATGAAAAAATTTTTATAACCGGTTCTCTTTCTCTCTCTCGCACTCACTCGCTGCGTCCACCAAAGAGTTCTGTATGTGTGTGCGATGATCAAAAGATAAAATAACTTGGCTTATGATGATCATGTACGTACCTGCAATTTATTAAAAATATTACACACTCGTGCAACATTTTCATACATTTTGAATTTCACGACGGTTTTGGCAAGCGTTTTTGAATACATTTTGCTCTTTCTGGTGTGGGTGCAGCGCTATATACTTTTATTGCTACTAAATGTTCTCCTTGGGCGGAATTTCATTTGCAGGTCGCGGAAATTTGGCTCAATTTTTTTATTGCTCGCTCGTGTCCACGCTTAAATTATTATACATGATGCAGCACACATAAATAAATTAAGAGACGAGAGTCATTTGCACTCATGCATATATTTTTGTACATATGTATACTGTTCGAAACAAAACGCAGTGTTTTTTTCTCTAGAATATAATTTCAATAGACCAGAAACTCCATTTCGCGACCGGATGTTCGCTTGTTGTAAGAGCAGGAAACAAAAAAGCGGTGACACAAAAGAGATGACAGAGACAGAAACTCGCGAGCGTGGCGGTCTATGAGCTGAGGGTACTTAGCGAAAACCGAAAGACTTTTTGTGCACCTCCATTCAAAGTCAAGGCGGTGGAAAAATGCGACCTAAAATCGCCATTATTCACTGTCAAATACAGGTGAGCATTATGCATTCACAAATTGTGCGTCAATGCACCTTGCTTCCTGTTCGAGGGCAGTTTTTCTTATTTCTTAAATAGGTGTCCCCATCTCCCCAAGAGAGGCGTGCAGAGGCTGCAGTCATGCCTTTTGAAATCACTTACTATTTATCAGCTATTTATATAGCCATATAGTGGAACATAATGCTACGATGCAAAAAACTTCTATGCCATATAAAGAGAAATAATCGAATCTGTTTTGAAATTGGTACATTATATT